GAAAGCTTGAATACTAATCCTCATCATTTCTCTTATATACTGAGGATAGTGTAATGGTAGACATTAATAGTAATCAAATGTAAACCATGCATGGGAGGAATCCATATAAAATACAGGTCCTGATAGTGAGAAAACATGTTATAAATGTGAAAACTCCCAGCAAACTCTAAAACATCATATCTTTTCGACACGGATCTAGAACACAGTGTAAATTTGTCTTAAATCATACCTCCGGCTATAAATACCTGTTGTGTTTGCTTAGCAAATTAATTCTTCTCCTACTTTTTTCTTTCTTTCTTTTTCTTTTCCTTCTACCTTTTCATTTTCATTTTTCTCCTTCTTCTTCACCTCCTCCTACTTCTACTGTTACTACTTCTTAGTCTACAAAAATTTATCAGAACATTCCTCTAAGCTGGTAGAATCACCCCTTAACAATAAATGGGTTTCAAAACATTCACACCAAGGTACATAAAAAATAGATTGATTCTAATAACGTTACGACAAATGCAGAGTATCATATTGCTGTGTAAGAATGTGGAAACTACAACCAACCATAAATACAGGCTAAGTATATTTACCAAGCACTCTGATCTTATAATTAGTGGCTAAGAGAAATGGTTTTATTAACACCTGAGATCCAACAAAGGGAGGAAATGTTGAGTTTGTGGGACCTTTTCTTGCAGCTAAATACAACAGGTACCCTCATAAAATATTTGAGACAATATACTAACTAGCTGGTGGCCAGATTTAATTTAATTTCTAACTCAAACTAGAATGCCTATTTTGAGAATAAGATAGACCAAGGAGATTCTTTACAAAAATATTAAAGTGAATTGCAGACAAATGCCCATTCAACAATATGATTATGCATTTAAAAACATTTTCCAAATATATGCATAAAATTCACAGTAATTTTTTTATATTGGCACCTTGCCTCTGGAGGTAGATAGGTGATAGATAGGTAACAGGTGGTAGATAGGTCTTGGTGTCAAGAGTGAGTATTCGACTTCTACGAGTTAAATCGGAGAGGAGAAACTAATTTTGCCTTCCTGCTGCCCTTTGTATGTTTATATTAGAATACAGTTTCTAGAAAAACTGCAAATACACATAAGAACATTCCCTCCATTTATCCCCATTGGAAAAAAATATGATTTGTTTTACAAAATATGTTTTCATAGACATAAGTTTCATAACAGCTGGCTTCCACAAAGTAAAGAACATTTTAAATTATGCATTTAATATTTTCATTATTCATGATAATTTTTTTCTTTTTTCTTTTCATTTTTTTCCTTTGCTTTCTTTTTTAAAAAATACATAAAGTGTATGGATAAGTCCTTATGGACCAGAGTTGCAAATATGTAAAAGTATAAAGCTATAAATTCTTATTATGTGTGAAGTGGCACTTCAGTAAAAAATAAAAACCTCCCTCCTTGTTTCTATGTTTCTGTCTCTGATTTTTGGGCCTGTGACTGTCTACCTACACATCTCCGTCTTGGTCTTCCCGTATCTTTCTGCATTTTTGTGACTGTGTTTTCTATCTCTCTGTGCCTGTGTCTGTGGCTGATCTGCATTTCAGTTTGTCATTGTGTCTGTCTGATTCCACCTGTGTTTGTCTGTGTATGCATGTCTCTGTCAATGTGCATTTATATCTGTGTCTGTCTCCCACTTTCTCCCTCAGTTTCACTTTCGCTTTCCCTACACAGTAAGTTTCCCTAAATCTGTAAATGGTTCAGATATCAAAAATCATTCATTTGATATGCATTCATGACAGTACCTCTGTTTACTTATTACAGATATAACAGGGAGTAGTTTATCTTGTGGCCAATTATTTGGAAATTTCTCAGCTATTCTTAATACTTAACCCAAATACAATCTCAGTTTTTCTTAAGAATAGGAACACTTTTTACCTAACAGTCCCAAATTCCTACAAATAATCAATATATTCCAGAAATCATGTTCCTTCTTCCAATCACTAATTACTTTCATCATTAATGCAATTAATCAACTAGCACATGAATTCCAAGTAGGAAAATAAGTCATGTTCTGTAAGCCTAGACTCTAACAAACAGTAATCTCTAAGCTGTAAACTAAAGACATATTCATAATCGCATTTTATGATGATTACTTCTGTTATCATATTACAGGTCATCCTTCAACAAACAAGATGACACAAATATACACTGCAAACAATATACAACATTCATTCAAATCCCCTAACATTTTGGATAACTACTATGAGTCCAGTAACAAGTGCCTCATGTAATCACATTTTATCTATGACTATTTTGTGTTCAGTAATTGTTTCATACTAAAAACACAATTTTTTTTTCTGAAATTAAAGAAATTTTAGAAGAGGCTCTTTCTTACAGCAAGAAATAACTAATGCTCTGTCTTATTTTATAAATAATTTATGCTCTGTTTCTATTTACCAAAGAAAATTATTCTATTTTTGGTTTAAAAGGCAAAACTAGAACAAATAAATCTGATTTATTACTAGTATTACTCTTTACTGAGCTTTAAAAATGTACACAAAAATGTAAAGACCAATGTGTCACATAAATTCCACAAAGGATGGTATGAACATTAACAAAATTCAATAACAAGAAAACTCTACATTTAGAAACTAATGTCTGTGAAAAAAACATTCTTAGGATAATCTTAATCTTCCTTTTAAAATATCCATTACTGTGACACAGACAAACTTAAAACATGAAACTGAAACACCACTTCTATCATATGCTCTATAACTTGCTTTTAAATGAACCACACTCAATCAAACGGAAGAATAGGGAAGAACTCGAGTGAATAAAGGATGGACAAGGGATTACAAATGATGAAGGAATAATTGAAAGACCAAAAATATCACAAATTTGTTTCTCCAGATCAGTCAGTTATTAAGCCGAGTCAATGGAAAATATTGGGTACATTTCTATAATGACTTTGAATCACAGTCTTAAGCAAAATACTGAAATGTTAATAAATGAATACATAAAACAAAAAAACAGAATAAACAAATGCCAAGTATACTATTCACATCTGTTAACTGTTACATATTGAAATACACTGTTGTCAAGCAATGCATACCAGTATTACAATCATAAAAAAATAAAATATTAATAAACCAACAATGCATATCTAAAAATGAAAATAATGCTGCAATCTCATCACCCTAGCTAACAAAAGTGAATTAAACAATTATGAAAAAAAACAAAAAAACTGATTTTGATTAAACATGCAGTTACACTATAGTTCCTGAGTACCATATACTGTTCTGATATCTGAAGAATCATTGTCCATAATTCTTAGTGGGCCTATTGTTTGTACTGCATCAGTAAAACATATGTCATATTTTGCAAGATAACGCAATCCACTTCTTTTCACTAGCTAACATCACATAATTTCTTTCACAGGAAAAATAATTCTTGTACCCATCCACATACATCACCAATGAAACACAACAAAAACAACACTGCTTAAAGTTTGGAAGGAAAAAAAACAACTTATTTCTATAGGCATGACATTCAAGACCTTACGAGATGCAAGGGAATTATACATGGTTATTGGACTTTTAACAACATTATTGTCAAGACTGCTTCACCAAAAGACTGTTCTTAAACATGTCACTGAATTTCTTGTTTTCTTTCCTTAGTTCCTGGTCTACTTGGAGCATCAATTTTCGTACTGCTGTGTCTGGAATATGCAAGAGGTAAAGAATTGGTACAAGAGAGTTTTAAAACTACTTTCCAGCTTAATACGAACACTGAATATCAAATGTGTAAAATTATGCCGATAGCAAGTCAACTGAAAAATTATATTATCTATCATTTTATAAATTAATCATTTGATTTACTTTCCTGTACTAATTATATCTGTTAAATTGAGGATGCATAAAATCTACAGAGGAATCTGAGATGAAACTTTACTTACTATAAGTAATAATCAAAGCCATAGTTTAATCATATTTTCACAACTACAAAAAACAAAACTACAAACCAAAAACAATTCTCTAAGTGAACAATAAAAACATCGACAAACAAATATGAACAAAAGTATACATATATCTAAAAACAGCTTTGCAAACCATCAATAAAATCTATTAAGAAAACCTGCACTGCAACATACCTTTGCCTTCAGATATTGCATTAGCTTCTTTTAGGGCCTCTTTTGCCGCATCGTAGTCTCGGAGGTGGAACTGAGCGAGCCCAAGGCGGTACCAACCCTTCACGTTCTTGGGCTGGAACTCGGTCACTTGCTTGCAACACTCAACCACTCTCTCGTACCTTACAGGTTCTTGCTTTAATAAGCATGCTGTTAAAGATGATGTGAAAAACTACAATTATTTTTTGCTATCACTAATATGGAATAATGGCAAGTCTTCTAAATAGAGGATTTGATGACAGACAACCTCTCAATGTTGTATATGTCCAGCAAGGGAGAATCAAATACAAGGTCAGTTATTTACTTAGCAACAAATTTTGTCTTGAAATAAATGACAGAATGCAAATGCAACACCAAAGACTTGGCCTCAACTGTATATCACTCAAAGGACCACATACTTTGAGGAAAGCCACAAAAGTTCTTGAAGTGACATCTAGATATAAAAATCCAGATATAAAACATAAGAGAGTGAAACCAAAAATACAAATATTACAAAGCCTGTTCCAATACCTGCTAAATTGTTGTGCAGATCAGCAGTTATCATCATCACAGCATCTTTCGTCTCTTGGGGTAGCTTTGGGGCAGCGCGACTTTGGCCAAAATGTTTATTTGGATTCATGTCCTGATCCACTGCCTTCATATACATGAGTCCACTGAAAAAAAGGGTAATGCTGAATATTATAATATATAATCAATGAATAATATCTATTTATTTCATACTATTAATGACTGTTCTCTCAAGTGACTACAAAAGAACACCAAAAATAAATTAAAAAATAACAAAAATTAAAAGTAAAATTCAAAATAAATAAACTAATAAAAATAATAATAAATCATAATAACAATATCCAATAATAACAGTAATAACTGCCAATTATGTTAATAATAACAATGACAACAGCAACACTAAAATAATCAACAATAACAGAATAATAATATTAATAATAACATTAAGAGAATGAACTTTTACACTAAACAAAGCCCACAACCCACACCCATACCTATGCACATTTACATACATTCAGGTGCACATACACACACATATGCTTAAACACATGCACAAACACAGACACGGACACAGAGAGAGAGAGAGAGACAGAGACAGACAGACAGACAGACAGACAGACAGACAGACAGACAGACAGACAGACAGACAGATACAGAAAGACATAGACTACACAGACACACACAAACAGATGCACGCACACACACACACACACACACACACACACACACACACACACACACACACACACACACACACACACACACACACACACACACACACACACACACACACACACACTAATGCATGAATATACTCTACACACCTATGATAATTCCTTATGGCCTTCTTCAACTGCTGCTGCTTGAAGTGGTCATTTCCCTTTTGCTTGAAGCCCACTGCCTTCGCCAGTTTATGCTCGATTCTCTCCTCTGGGGTCGCGGATGAAGGCAGATCACAAAGTTTTTCTTCACTCTGCGGCAAAGAGCCATTTTCTTTGTCGACAGGTGACTGCACTTCACTTGCCGCAGAAGACATTGGACTTTCTGTAAAACGGTATTTATGTCAGTATAATATCATAAATGAACAATGAATAACTAAAGATCCTTCTCAACTATATAGGGCAACATAATTTGAGATGGATTAAAATGAAAATCAAGAATACACAATGCAACATAGCTTAATCACGAAAGACCTGCAGTTGAAATAATGCAGAAAAAGAAATTATTAAAAAGGATTTTTTTTTTTATGTAGATTTATAAACTCAGTGACAGGCAAATTCCATTTCATCAATTCTTGAGTTTGATCATTTGACAAAAGATTGATACAAACTGCTAAAAACAAAAACGAGCTCATCTGCTTCACAAAATTTATGTTTTTATCATTTTGTCTTTAATATATAAACTAAATGGATATCAAGATATATAAACTGAAAGATCTTCAAAAACACTGTTATAATAAACAGTCTGTTTTCTTTAACTTCAGGTCTTTGTAAGTCCATAGAAACCATTCTCTCCATCCCTTCTGAATTCCTTTTCATACCTTTATGTTTTTATCATATCTGTCATCCTTCTTTCACTTCCTCCTATAATATAACTTGCTTACATCAGCACACTGCTACTCACTCACTGCTGAGTCAATTGAGTGCAAACCCAGGACCTTGCCAAGACAGAAGCCTACAGAGATAGGCCACTTCTACTTTCTGGAATATTTTCTCTTAAATGTCTCCAAAGTTTATTCATATCAGCAACACTAATTAAAACTCCCCTTTATTTCATCTTCCTTTATACTCTTCACCTCCTTCTTTCACCTTCTCTTGCCACCATCTCTTCCTCTTCGTCCTTTCGTCTCACTTTCACAGTCAATGCCACCCTACTGATATCTCAATGACAGCAGCCTCCTCTTGCATCAATACAAGCAGTCTGTATGCCCTTCCTAATCTTTATCTAATTAAAAGGCAATAATGGAGGTTATTGCATTGTCACACACACAGGTTTTTTTCAATGTACAACTCATATTTGGCTGCTTCACGCATATGCTGGCAATAAGCTAGCCTTTCCTCTCGGCAAAACTAAGTAGCTTTATTAAACCCTCCGTTATTTCTACAGATCCCAAGAACTCTTCCTTTTAAATTTACACCTACCACTGCACTCCAACTGCCCATCACAAACACCCAATATCCATTTATCATATATAGTATATATGATAAATATGGCATGGCAAGTCATATGGTTGATATCGAACCTTACTGAGAAGCATACGTTCTAACATGCAGAGGTAGGCTAGTGAAATTTTACGCACTAAATTTCCATACAAGCTATGTCATCCTCCGCTCATCATACTTTGACAAAAGCCAACAAACCACCACCATGTAAATTCACGCATGACACGAGCTTGCACAGGCTCCTTGTTTCAGGTTAAACAACTTGGGATATCTACGGGTTTCACCTCTCCAGTATAGGGGGTGATTTGCTGACCTTTTCCCATGCCTGAAGCAAAATCAGGCTATTGCGCAAACCCAAAACTTCAACCTTACTTTTTCTACTTTCTATTTATTCCCTAAACAGGTGGGCAAGACCCCTGTACTGCCCTTCGTGCCAAAGTACAGAAAACACAACACTGAGACCACTGACTGCGTGAGGGTGTTGTGGACTTGGTGTCTGAGCAGTGACAATGCAGCGGACATTTTCATCATTTTGAGGTAAATAGGAGGCTATTGCAGTCACACCTGTGTTGTCTATTACTCTATTCATTATGCTTTATCTATTTATTATGCTTTATTTGTCTATTACTCTATTTCTTATGCTTTATCTTTGTGTGGTAACCTTAAACTTGGC